AAAAAAAACAGAGTATACCTTTATGGCTCGGAGTGTCTAGAAAGAATAGTCAAGCTGGTCCCGGGGTAAAAAAATTTCTAGACACTTATACAGGAGAATATTGAAAGCTTTTTAATGGTATTCATACGCAATCATACAGTCTACGCCACTCCATCCAGACCAGGGAATAGGAAAATGTGTTCTTTCGGGCTTTTCCCCGAAGATCCCTGCCTGGTATCAGCGGAGGAAAATTATAGATTTTCCGGCGCCCGGTTCGTATTATCCGGCTCGTCCCGAAGACGTTATTTACGGGCGGAATCCCCGAAAATTTCCATCCGATCGGATTTCGACAGTAAATCGCGCCGACACGACTGATATGTGAACCCCAGGGGCGCCGTCGGGACGCACTCTCACTCCCGCACATCCATATCCACGCCCGTCTTCGTCTTATTCCATTTCACCTACACGCCAAAAAAAAGTTCGGTCTTAAAGTTGCAATAACATACGTGAAAAAGCTTTCCTTAAAAAGTATTGTGTCCTTATTATACAGGGTGGTCGGAATTGTATTCGGAAAACTTCGGCAGCATATTCTACAATTAAAAATAAGTGAAAAAGTTCGTATAAATGTATGTCCTAAAATGCTTAGTTTTGGAGATACAGAGTCTAGAATCTGCTGGTGGAAGGAATGGATATGTTACTATTGATTTTATTTTGTGTAGACTTTTTCTTGTTGGTCTGATGTGTGCTAGCTGCGTGAAAAGGTTTAACTCTAACGGTTATGCTGCCGCACAGTTTTGGCTGCAACTGTAGCACGGGATGACTATGGCACAGTGAGGACCGCGACAATAGTTCCCTTAAGGATGATTCACGCTATACTGTGACGGGTCCGAGTACGTGTACGATGTCGGTGTACATTTTTTTCTCGGATCCGCTTCGTTCCCGCCACGTTGCGGAAAGCATGTATGTACTTTTCCTGGTGCCCCGACTGCAATCTGCAGTCATGATATAAACAAAGTACACTTTTTATCATGTCTGTAGTAGGTAGTGAATCTTACAGCAGTATTTGATGATAGGGAATGCATAAAACTGGACAATGAAAGGATATAATGAAGAAGTTAGATCCTTCATCTTGCCCTTTGAGCAGGTGTTGTTCTTTCTTCATCAACTGTAATTGGCACCAATTCCACTTGCGAGAACTACGGCATTCTTCGTATTAAATCTTTGTGTGTCTATGGGGCTGTGTTTTATAATATACTCAGAATTAATATGAGCCCCGTTATCAACTCGGTGTTGCATAAACAGAAGGCTCGGACGTGGTTCGGTGTCTACTTCACAGAACGTGCCCGTCTCAGACACGGTCCGGTGAACTGTGAATCATCCTTTATGCTACGTTCTCTGCCAGCTAGGAGTAGTTTACTACTCCTCTTCCCCAGAAAGATGGTAGGTCTGAGGATTGTATAAGGTTATACCGCCTATACTCGTACGTCAGAGCCTCGTTTGTGTAAACAGGGTGCACCGCGTGAAGGTGAGGTTGACTTTTGGGTAAACTAGGCTATATGTATACCCCTTGCACCCCAAACACCCCACTTGTTGGTCTGGAGGGTTTATGCTCAAAGATATCCAAATAGGAATTTTTTTGACAAGCGTTCCTTTGAAAAACTACTTTTCCTGTTTCGCAGAGCTGATAATTTGGAATATGAAAAACCGATTAGGCAGAAAGCTGGAGTCGTTGGAAATGAAGAAAATTCACAAGGAATTTGTCTTAATTGATTCTTTTGGTGGGCACCGAGTGGGCGTGGCAAAATCATTTTGTCGTGGATTTTGCCACGCCCACTCGGTGCCCACTGGGCGAGTATATAAACGCTCAACTTGTAGATTGTACTTTAGTTTATAATCATCTGCTGATAATGCTAACATGGTTAGCGAAACGCGCGTCCAGTGTAAAAGTAAAAGTGTTTTGGTGTATTGTGGTGATTTAGTGTTTTTATTTTGCTATTTAAAAGATCTTTAAATATCTCAAAACCAAAACTTTCAAACATATTAAACCCTTAGTTCTGCCACACCCTGTACACTTTAAAATAATTTTAAATTATGCACATGGTCTCTATACATATACCCATAAAATATTTTGTTTCTACATCTTTCCGTTTTTTATAATCTACCGAGGCGAATGAGGTGCGCCACCCTGTATATACAGGAATTATTTGAAATTTTTAGTATGCGAACAAACACGAGAGGCGCTTTATTTACTTTCATTTCTTAACATGACAGACGAAGTTCTAAAGGGTGATGTTTTGTAGTCTAAATATCTAAAAAAAAATATTTTTTTTCGTGTATCTTCTTCAATTTCCTTTCCCGATTTTTACGCCTCCCATCAGATATAGGCAAATAATAGGCTAGAGAGTGAATCCCGGGCATAACCGTAAAAATCACTATGCATTGGCGGGGGTTTTCGCGGCGCGCGTAAGGGTTATACCGCCCCCGGGAACCGCCAAAGATGGGGTTATGGGTCCTGGGGGAGCCCTACAAGTCGCATGCGAGTGTGTGCGCGGCCGGTGCGAAAGAAAACAAATGGACGTGTAGCGGAGGGCACTTTCTGCGAAATTACGGGCCGCAGATTGAGGCGGGGGATCCCCGGGGGACTACTTAGGGTCCCGCTTGATGGCCGGGGGACCGATGACCTGGGTAATTAACTAATAAGTCTTGGAGGAGATATGGGGTTTGATTTTGATTCTCCTGATTTCGCTAATGCTAAAATCGATGCATCGGAACGTTTAATCGCAAATATCTCAAAAACAGATCACTGTTTCGAACTAAACAAAGAGCATTTTTTACACAACAAAGTCCTAGCTTTAATTTTCATTTATTGGAATGACTGTATCTATAAGGATAAATGAAGTACCACCAGTAGCGCTCTCTACACTAATTTAGAATTTAGAATGAGTGGGAGGGGGGTTAATCACTTCGACCTTACAGATCCATTGTGTCCCCCTTTCTTGAATCATAACTCATCATACAGTCCCCGGGCTTTGACAAAAGCCAGTATCTGGAACGGTTTTATAGAGGGTAGTTCTCCATCTCCAATATCAGTCGTACCAAAATTCATGGCACGAATGGTTGTCGTCTCGGCGCACTCAGTGATGAGGTGTACTGGTGTTTCACCATCTTCCCCACAGAATCTGCATTCGCTGTTTCTTCTTAGTTTCAATCTACTGAGGTGTTCATTGAGGAGACAGTGTCCTGTTAAAAACCCCGTGACAATCCGAAGATTGTTCTTACTCAGACCCAGGAAGATCTGTGATTTTTCTTGATCATAAGCCCTCAGAAACTTCTTCGAGTGTCTTAGACCATTGCAAGATTTCCATTCCAGGTTGCAGATGGAATCTTCCAAGTTCTTGAGTTCCGCCTTGAGTTGGTTACCACTTGGAAAGCAGAACGGTTCTGGTCCAGTTAGTGGAGTGTTCGCTCCTTTCCTAGCTAGATTATTTGCTTTTTCATTGCCTTCTATCCCTTGGTGAGCAGGCACCCAGTGTAGGAGGACTTTGTTTTCTTTGCCTAATTTATTCAGCTTCTCTATGCATTCTTTGACCAATTTCAAATCGATTGATACTGAGTTGATCGCCTTTAACGCTGCTTGACTATCAGATAAGATGGCTATTTCTTGTTTCCGATAGTTCCTATCTAAGATAAGTTGTACGCATCTCTCGATAGCGTAGATTTCTGCCTGTAGGATACTAGGGTAAGTGCCCATTGGTTGGAGTAATTAGCTCTCGGCCCAAACACTCCGATCCCTGTTCCCGTATTGGTTTTGGAAGCATCAGTATACCAAGTTATGGTATGGTCTTTTAACTGCTGGGCAAGCGTTTCGCTCTTCCAATCCTTCTTATTGCTCAATACTACATTGACATGTTTGTCAAAGTTGTACGTTCTTGGCATATCGTCCACTGGGAGTTGCAGGAGTCTCCACTAATGCAAAGTACCCTTTCACGGCTGTTAAGGAATTTTACACTATCGCCATTCGTTTTGGCATTAAAATGGCATTTTAGGGCATATGTTCATAGAAACTTTTTGTATTATTTTTATCCGTAGAATCACACGGAGTTGGATACACTATTTTTGACACCCTGTATATGAGACCCTTGTAAATAGCAGTCTACTCTACACATTTAGTAATTAGATTTGTTATTGTAACCCCCTGAATTAAGAAAGAGCTTCATAATTTCATGGATATAGACACGTGCGTAGGGACACTTTGTACGTTTGTTTTCCTCTTTTTTACTCCGATTCCATTGTATTCAAAAACCTCGTTTCACATCTTTGGGCGTAAATTAACCGTGACACAATGACGACGACTCCGCTCGAAATATAAGGCGTTCCCGCCACTTGCTAATTTATGTGCTGCCCTGTATAGGCGCGTGGCTCGCGTATACGCTCTCATTAGGGTAATTACCCGATTCTCGCACACGTGAGAGCGTCACGTCGCGCCACCTAGCAATTGGTTTGAAAAATCACGAGCGCTATGGTAAATAACGACCCTGCTGACTGGGTGGGACCGAGTCACGTGTCACTGGAGTTCGGAAAAGTCACGCCCAACGACATCGCGAATTATGGGTTGATTTGTTTCGCCAGTCTTTCAAAGTCTTTCAAAGGCGGCAGTATAGTATGATTTAAACGTATGCAAGTGGTAGACATGTTTCATTTTAAAAAATAACTGTTATGCCAATATTTCATTGTTATTTTTTTTTTATTTGCGCAGCTAGGATGTTCAGCATGGTGCGGTGGATCAAAAAAATCGACTATTTTTTTTCACTTTATACTTTGAAAAAAAGGTTGGTATATCGTGAGTATGAGGTGAAAAAAAATAGTCGATTTTTTGACCCACCCAAATGTTCAGTCTTAAAATAAAAAATTTGTATTTATGGATACCAGTTGTATGTATGGAACGGGATATTAAATTTATGTTATAAGGTGATCGCTATGAGTTACTGTTTTAATCTAAATTTTATTTTCATTGGTTTCAGCATCCCTATCCGTCGGAGGATCAGAAAAAGCAATTGGCACAAGATACGGGTCTAACGATACTTCAGGTCAATAACTGGTAAGTCCTATTTTATATTTTAAGTTTGCAAATATATTTATTACATTAGAGAAATGATAACCGATGATATTTGGAAAAATGTCATAAACATAAAAGATTATGTATATGTTACGCACAATACTCGAATTCGGGTAATGCCCGAAAAAAATGCGCAAAAAATATTTTCCAAACCCGAAATTGTACATTTAAACGGGTATTGCGCATTACAAAATGGCAAAAACTAGTATTGTGCATTTTAAATTGTGCAAAACTAGTTTGGTGCATTTCAAAATGACCGTTTTCTTTTAATAAGACGGCAAAAAGTAGGGTTAGCAGTTTGTTTAGGTTTTAAAGGATTCTTATTTTGATTTTGTTATGGGTGGAAATACGCAATACTTGGTAAAATAAAATATAAAAATGCAAGAAAAAATGGAAGCCGAGTTCGAAATTCTAGTAAGTCGATTGATGATGGCTAAAACCATAGAATAACTAACTGAAAGAAATGAAAACTCCTATGTTAAAGCCTGGAAACACGCGCTCGACGCGATCCAAGCGGGCTACTGGCAGAACTAAAAGTTCGCGCCATATTTTTAAATGGACCTTTACTGCCAGTTCATAAGTTTTTTACTTATATTTGGTAATTTCAATCTAGATTATGAACTTATTTGTAACAAAACATTTTACAAAATAAAAATAATGTATTTTTATACAAATAAATTAATAATCTAGGTTGAAATTATCCCTGAAATTAGAATAAAACACGAAAAATTTGTAACTTGATTATTTTATTATAACATTGTTAATAAAATTACATATAACACATTCAACACTATACAAGTATATATAAAAGTTATCAGAATTTATACAATCAGTTATAAGTAATTATAAAAAAGGTTATAAATTATAAATAAATAATTCATTATATAAAAGACATATAGTTACCGTGAATATAATTTGGTATAACTTTAATCTCAACTTTAATGACCTATTCAAATAGAAACATCTTACAATTCACATTATATAATACACAAAGCCAAGGGACAAAATTGTTATTAAATCTATTCTCGATGACTCGAAGCATTTTTTTTTCAAATAAAACAGGACATATAGGGCTTATAAATAATACAAGGGTATAGAAAATATATAAATAAGTAAATACAAATATATTTTCAACCTAATGATTAATGATTATACTCGTTTAAATAAATAAATGATCTTTTTAAAATTACTTGTTTGTCTTTGCAAATTTGTATATTTAATATTTATCTAAAAGCGTACACTTACATAAATTACTGCACAACCTTTAAAATTAAGCTTTTAATATGTTATACAAATTCTTGATTCGATATAAATACACTTAAATAAAACTTTAAAATTAATGATCTTCCAAATTTCTGAGACAGCCATTTTGTTGAAAGAATTTGTTTTGATTATGAGAAATTTCATAAAAATTATCACAGGGATTAATTAATCTTATATATTAAACTACTTGGCTTTTAAATTTCACAATCCTATCGTCCAAAATACTCTAAATTCGCAAAAATCCGTAAAATATTCCCATAAAAACAAATCACAATTCACTTCCACTTCACAGAAACTGACAGACATTGCCAAATATGGAATGACGTTTATTTTTCAATTTATTTTACTGATCTAACTGATCCGGGTCACTTAGAAATTAAATTTTTATTAAATTATTTAATTATAATTGTTTCTGGCGAAAGCAACTTCATATCAATGTTTATTCATAGGGTAACAAAGCACATCACTGTTAAATTATCAACATTTTATATAAATATTTATATTTTTCAACTACTCCAACTACTCCAATTACTCCACAGAGAATCAAACGAATTGTTAATTAAACTATACTCTGTGGATGACTTGATAAAATCATGATGAAATTAAAGTCCCTAGATGAATATCTAGGGACTTTAGACGAAATTTCTACGCAGCGCCATCTATCCCTCTACTGGCAGAAACTCCGCCGTGTTTCCAAAATTCAAATGGCAGTTTCATCCGCCTGGCTAAAACACAGAAACATAACCTTATGTCGAAAAACGAATACCTAACGATATTGATTGAAGTTAAGGAGGCAAATTTTCTTAAAATTTAAAACCTTTGTGTGCGAAACAATATAGAAGGATAAAACGTTTTGATAAAATAACTGTGGGTGGTGTGGAAAAATTGATCAAGAAGCGCCAAGGAGATTCCGATGTCATACTGTATTTTGTTGTGATTGAGGAAATGTTTTCTATAATTCACCAGGCACATATAGCTACAGGCCATAAACGACATAAAGGTTTGTTTTTTTTTGTTTATATTTTATCTATTAGGTATCTAACCATTCTTAGGGTTCCGTTATTAAGTATTTTATTGTCGGTTTAATCATATTTGAATCAAACACATTCATAAACAATCCATCCTTTGTGTTAGGGCGTTATTGATCAAATAGGACAAGCAAAACTAGTATTGGACATTTTGAAATGCACCAAACTAGTTTTGCGCAATTCAAAACGCACAGTACTTGTTTTGACTATTTTGTAATGCGCAATACCCGTTTAAATGTACAATTTCGGGTTTGGGAAATATTTTTTGCTCAAAACTAGTTCTGTGCATTTGTTTCGGGCATTACCCGAATTCGAGTATTGTGCGTACCAAGTAGTTTTACACTTTAAAATTTAGGATTTTTCAAAAACGGCTCAAATTACAGTGCACTGTCATTTAATGATTTGCATCAGGAAGATGTAAGTAAATACTACTCACTGAAGAAAAACTCAAAAAATTTGACTATAAGAATGAAACTGAAGACTAGTACAGCACAGAGTACCTAGAAGATTGCTTTTGGTAGATGCACTCTTTCTCTTCTTTCGATGTTTCCGGTTTTGTTTCTGTTAATTCAATTTAATTTCAGTTCTAATGTGATATTGTTTGGCTATTCGTCTGATCTATTCTGATATTTTTTTGTCTATGGAGTACTCAAGATAAAGAGCTTTTTCCTCAAGCTGGTGCACCAGTGAGAAATATTTCTTTATCGTATATCATCTGCAGTTGATTTTGTTCTTAGTCTCAATATAGTTTGGTGTTTTTTGGAAAGATTTTGTCATTTAAACAATCCTGATGTTTTTTTTTTCAACTATCTAATGTTTCAGTAAAGCATGTTATTTTGATCTGAAGGCTAGGTTATCTCTTCTAGCATCCTCTTCTTGTTAGTTAGTTAGACTAACTCAATTATCTGGGTGCCTGAGTCTATCCGTAACCTTGAATGGGAATCCCCCAACGGTCTAAGACATTATTCGAAGAAATTTCTCAGGACTTAGACCCGAGAAAAGTCAAAGATTTTCTTGATTTAAGTAAAAACAATCTTCGGATTGTCAAGGGGTTTTTAACAGGACACTGTCTCCTCTATGAACACCTCAGTAAATTGAAGAAAAGAAAGAACGGTAAATACAGATTCTGTATGGACAATGGGGAAACACCAGAACACGTCATCAGTTCGTGGTTTAACTTTTAGTACGACTGATATCGGCGATGGAGAACTAACCTCTGTAAAATGGTCTCAGTGAGAACAACTCAAGAATAAGGGATACAATAGATATATGAGGTTATTAACTTCCCCTATTTTTTCGCTTATATCTTACTCATGATAATTCAGACTCAAATATTTTTGTCGTTTTTTCCGTCGACCTGTTTTAATTTCCTCCAGATAAAAACAAACAATAGCGCTCCAAGGGTTGTATTTCTTCCTGTACCCCCCTCCCTCTTGCCCCTCGTTCGACATGAATCGGCATCCGGAAAGGAGCCGAAGATTCGGTAATTACGTTTGCGAACGGGCGGCGGCGCGCAGATCGCATTTTAATGCAATTCCATCCATTATCCTGGCAGGGCCATTAGCGAGAACGGCGCGCCACCCTGATGCAATTTGGATAGAGAGAGCCGTTGCCGAGCCGAGCGATGGCGCTGGCATCGACGTGGAAGACCGCGTAGGGAGGGTGTGTCGATAGGTCCAAGGAAAACATCGATAACATAAAGAGCTAGCTTAAAAGCATAGTGATTAAAGGAGAAGACAACCAATCCTTCCTAATTTAGAAAGGCCTAACGTGCTTCTCCATCTCCCACATTAGATTTTCATATAAAATATTTGGCTTCTAAATAATAATAATAAATATTACTTTATTTCGTACATTAGGGTAAGCCAAAAAAACTGACCTATGAAATTTATGGGTTAAAATGAACGTAATAACCACTAATAACCGAGAAAAAAATATCTCCGGAAGGCAGGGTTTTCAGCTCAATTTTAAAAGGTGTCGCTGAACATTCAAAGTTTTCCATTTTTCCATACGTAAAAAAAACATTTTTCCATTAAATGTACCATAACTTTGAAACGGTTTACGATAAAAAAAATTAAATCGCGGATTCTTGTAGAGCATAAAATTTCCTAAAAGATCTATTTGAGTGAAATTACCTGAAAGTAATCTAGTCTTCTTTGCTAAATATGAAAATTTTCAATCAATAAACACTAAAACTGCATATTTTGATTTTTCTCACTTTTAAAAGCTTTCAAATATACGAATTATTGAATTGGAAAAATTACTCTCGGATAGATCTCTTTTTGCGGACGACACTAGCTTCACTTGGAGCAACAAGGACGTTACGGCACTTCATAGGATTATATCAAATTACTCAATCACCATTTAATCTTGGTGCGATTCCAACCTCTTGAGTATGAACATTTCTAAAACTAAAGTTTTGTCGTATACAAACTCGCTGTAGCCTTTTGTACTTAACAACACCACCATTGACGTCGTAAAATCTGTAAAATTCTTAGGGCTTGTTGTAGACAATTCTCTGAAATGGGACATGCATATCGACTCTTTGTCGAAAAAATTAAGCTGTGCCTGTTTTGCATTAAGATCTGTTTCTAATCAGTGGCTAGAACTGTTTATTATGCACTTTTTGAGTCGCACCTCAGATATGCCCTTTCATTCTGGGGTACGTGTTGTGCCACTCAATTTTACCGC